ATTGCACAGAACAAATAATTTTCGTCCTGGCAATAGAAACTAATTTTGCGTCGAAAAACGGCTCAGATTTGAGGCAATTGTCCTGTGACAAAATAATTAAAACCCATCCTCTGACATCTAGTGATGCGAGCATCGTAACAAAACATCAATGTTAGTAAACATCAATCTTTCAAAAAAAACAAACATCGATATTATAATACATCGGCTAAAACAATCGATGTTTTTGCTCATCCCATGTTTCAAGCTAGTTTTAAAATATATTCGTGTGCAACAAATTTAATTTAATCAGTGTTCATGGTTTATCACTTCCCACGAATAAGTGTTGAGAAGAAGGGGAAACCCTAGCCAAACGCATTTTGTTTAGACATGTTAAAACGGGTTATCTCGGGCGAGTGGTTCGATGAAATAAGTACACAACAGCGTTCCTTTGCTTCAACCGTGTATTAACAGTATTCATATCACATTATTATTTCATATTTTAACTTTACAGTACAGCTGGATCTTGAGAATTTCTCATGCAGAAAAACACATCGGAAAAGAACAAACATCGATGTTAATACGATGTTTGTAGAGACATCGATGTTCTGAACACATCGGCATCGTTGTCTTCTCCCTACCGCATCTGAACGTATTGAGGGCTGAAGAAAACATCATTGCAATGTATAGGACTTACTCTAAGAACGGACCCCTTTGCAGGTCGGTAAATGAACGTTATCCAGGCGATTACATAGCAGATGAGTGATGAGCCATTTACAAACGAGTAACTGTAAGCAACGCACTCAGAAATTACTGGTGTAGACTACCTGGCAATGGCTGTCAGAGTCGGTGTCTCTTATACTAGTAATCTCCAGGGCCGCATTTTAATGACTCTCTTTTTTTTCTTCACTATAGAACAATGCCGTTTAGAACCGAAAATTTCCTGACAACCCTTTACGATTTCGATAGATGAAACCTAGATACATCAGTTGCATATCAATTGAGTTGTTCTCGGAATGGCTTAATGACATTTTTTTTAACGTTATTTTTCCTTTGCTTCCAGGCATTTTAAAAAACATGTTAAGAGCGTTTATGACGTTTCTGGCGACGTTTAAGGTCTCAAAATCTCGTCGCGCGAATACTTGGATTTCTCTACTTGTGGCCGATGGTTTATGTTATAGTTGCCACTCGTGCCCTTGTAAAATGCAATCTTAATTAATTGGTTCGCGACCGACCTCAACGGGGGTTCGTGGGCCCCTGAAAATGCGCTTCCAACAGATTCATTTTACCAGCAGGAATGTGTACCGGTTGGCCTAAATGTCAATCTGTGTGCATCCGCCCCTGGGTCGCACTTCCACACACGCAGGGCTGCTCCGAGAGATGAGCGCTGCGGCCGCAGGAGGTATTTGCGGCAGCGTCTCGTTGGCATCTCCACGGGCGGCACGGTCGGACTCCACCACGATGCGCCCTCGGGCGGCGGCGGGGCGGCGGTGGGGCGGGGCGGTGGCGGCGCGCGGTCGCGCCAGCGTGGAGGCGGCGCGCTGGCGGCGGCGGCGGCCGGCAAGCCCGGAGGACGGCGACGGAGGCGCGCATGGCGGCCGGGCGGGGGCACTGGCGAATCCGGAAGGGGACGGGCGGCGGCGGCACTGGTTAGGCGGGCTCCGCCGCGCTGACATACGCGCGCCGCGCCGCCCCCCCGCGGCGCCGCGGGCCGCACAGGTGGGGGAGGGCGTGGGTCGGCCCCCCCGGCCCTGGAACGCTCGGAAGGGCGGGCGGGCCGGGCTGTCAAAACATGGACACTCCGAATGGAACATCGATATTGGGAGCGAATTTACACTTTTTCGTTACGCTACGTTTTATGTATGTACGGAGTTAGAGGAAGTTATGTGATGTCTGGGCGAAAAAAACGGCAGATTTTCAAAGGAGAGGAAAATTCATTGCCAGGTCCTGATAAGGAAAACGTGAATAAATCCATTATGAAATTAAGAAACCAAAATGGTCTAACACGCTGGAATACTCATCCCTCTTTTGTGGGTCTTGGATAAACGAAAAACCAATTGACGCCAAACGGTCGTCTGTTCGTCTACAGCGTCTGCCGTTCGTGTCCCTGTGAAACAGCTAGCGCATAAAAACACGCGTAGGATTTTTTCCATTTGCAGAAATATCCTGTCGATTGGCGAGTGTCAAAGCCTTGGGTTTTGAAAAATATTCTTTTTAAATTTGGAGTACTTCACATGAAGCACTGGACATTGTCAAAATTTCTCAAAAAGCTCCAATTTTTTTGTGTAAGAATAGAGTAAAATACACTTACACAGAAGGGACCAAATCCGATTTCCAGAGTTTACTGCTGATTTCGATTATATTACAAAAAAAAACCCAAAAAAAAAAAAAAAAAAAAAACAAAAAAAAAATCGGGGTCTTCCTTCCACAAAATTGAAGATAGAGGTTTTCCCTTCAATAAAATGTTTCCTTCCTATTTTTTTATTCATTTTTGGGAAATACCGTATAGCAATTCATTTTATGTTATGACAAAAGAAATACCCATTTTAGTTATTTTCTTCTATTTTTCGTCAATTTCGGCTAATAAGTCATTTTTTTACCTTTTTCAATT